AGGACAAAATCCCCTGAAAACCCCCTCATTCAAATTGCAAAGTAGGACAATTTCCCCCATTTTAATATTGATGTTTCTCAGAGTTAGGTTAGATCATGTTAGATTTGTTTTGTTTTTGTCTTGGGGGATATTGTTCTTGGGAGTTTTTGTCCATGGGGGATTTTTGGCCAAAAGGGATTTTGCCCTACCCTCGTATTCCTGTCTTCTGCTGTAATACTTGTTTTCTTCGTTTTTCTAACATAACTGTTGTACTATCGTCCTTTTATTGTTTTCGGGCGTGATCACGCGGTTTTATATTTGGCGTTCTCTCGAATTTTTAGTTTATTGTTTTCCTCCTATGTTTTTTTATTAAGTGTTGGACATAACTGGACAGTGAATCCTCCATGATCACACACAAAAATATTGTATTCCTTCCCTTGTACTCGTGTTTATTGACGACCCTCCCAAGTCTTTATCTATAGTATTTTCTTGTAATATAGTGTCCTCTAATTCATATATTATATTTAATGTACAATGGTAAGGAGTATGTCAGTTCAATCAGGGATAGCCAAAGAAAGCTATAACTCCTTATAATACGATGCAAAGTCATCTTACTCGAGGGAATTAGTCACCGTAGTCAAAGGTTTAAGATATCCTATGCAAGGGATTACGATCATTATGTTCTTCAGTAATTGTATTCAAGGGTTAAGTTACTGTACTCTAAGAGTTAATTAACTCGAGGCCCCTTGAATCGAGGGGTATACCTTACTCATTGAACTAACTATTGTATTCAGGGGACAAAGGTTCTTCGGGATTCATCTGTGTGAGGACAGGATGGGGACGGGTGGGGGTTCAGGGTTGAGTACAAGGCGTGTTTGTGAATCAAAGACACTGCGTTGTTTGGTGAGGTACACAGGCGTCGTGAGACCAGCCCGCAGTAATCTCTCACATTTGCTTTGTGAGAAGCGTAGAGCAGCTCCTATGAAGAACTGTACTGTATGTGTACACTCAGCGAATGGAGGCCTGTCACCTGCGGCGCGCGCAGGGGCTCGCTGCCTGATACAAGTACCCTGTATCAGTGCACTGCGTTTTTTTTTCTCTCATTGAACCCAAGTGAACCCCAGCGATATATTCAAGGACATTGTTTATTTTGATATGCATTAATTTATAATCCGAAGAATCTAACTTAATGTAAATATTCATTAAATATATTTCAACCGGAATAATTAAAATCTTGAGTATCATTGCTGAACAAGTGTGATTCAACGGGTATGTTTATCATGGAGTTCAGAGAGTGCATCATGGGGTTCATTGGAGTAAAAAAATGACACCGCCGGCGTCGTATTCATGTACAGTACTGTATATTATGCAACGATCATTTAACAACACGTAAATCCTTGTTGTTGTTTTTAGTTCACGTTCTGCTAAAGGATAAAACTTTCATTTCATGGGAAGAAAAGCAGAGAAGCTTTCTCATACCGGATGTAAATACCAAAATTCGTGTCACATTGGTAAGATATGGTTACTTTAGTCCCACAATTCAAAGAAATACAGCAATTTTGGGGCAATCGGACGAAAATTATTTCACATTCTTTTTCATACCTGCCAAAGGGGAAACTACTACTGCCATTTTCTTTATACTAGGAAAGAATGTATAACTTCGAGCCATATTAGACCTTATTTCCTCTGGTAATGAAGCGAAAAAGGCCAACCCTGACTTGTGGCCGATTCTTGGTGACTACTGTTTTTTTTTTCGAAATTTGTAAGATAAATACATCCTTCCCGGGAGCTGTAAACTGCCGTTGCAAAGTTTTAAGTCAACCCAATTAGCTTTTTTTTCTGAAGAAACCTTACCCTATTCTGACTGGCACCTCACGCGCCACTACCATTTAATAGCTAATTCTTGCCTTAGTCGCCCTTATGTTTCTTGTCACTAACGCTACTTCGTTTGTTCTTGCTTTGGCCGTGAACTGACACAGTGTATTGTGTTGTAGACTGGTAAACTGACATTGTTTGATTGTAGACTGGTAAAACTGAAGTTTTGTTTAATGCGTACTAATAGTCTCTGGCCAGATTCTGAGGGACATAGCCCGGCAACTCTCCCACAGCATCCGGGTCAGACGTTATTACACGACAATTATCGTAGTGTTATCACCAGCAATCATCGCATGCTCAATTATCGTGCCACAAGTATCGTTGCTGTCGTATCTACTGGGAAGCGTTGTATGGTTGAACTCTCACAAGACACACATACACAAACAGTCAAACACTCCCCCACACATACACATAACAAACACGCATACAACTTAACAAGTAATAAATGGGTTTTAGAATGTTGGTACATGAGGATAGCTGTGACTGACCCACAGGTGATCATCCGAGCAGCCATTAGAGTACTATGTGGGTCACCATGGCCCCGGAAGCCATGATTGGGCCAGATTGTAGCAGGATCAATGTATGTATGTACTAAATATGCATATATGACATGTATGTGTAAATAACGTACTGTGATTATAATGTACGAGTATGTATGTATGTATGTATGGTTGTATGGTTATTTTACCCATTGTGTGGATATTAGGGAATGGTGTTTAATTGTGTGTACGTAAAACACACACACACACACACAGTCGTAGTGTCATTGGGTAGTAATAACTTCCGGATTGAGGGTGTAATGGGTATTTTTTTTTTTTTTTTGAGGGGTGGGGGTATTGGTTATAGGAGGGGGTACCAGGGCTTGGGGATGCTGGCTAAATGGCTCTATACATTCTTCCAACGTAATTGTTCCCACGCCCACGCCTCAGTCATTTTTAATTGCCCCCACGCCCTCTCAGCCTCGATGCCGCCGCGGAATTTCACCAGTGGGCGAAATCCCACCATCAAGAATACAGTACTCTAAAGTTTCCTCTGGCCTAAGATTCAGCTGGAAGGTTTCCAGTGGACAAAATTCGACCACCGAAAGTGATAGAAATATCTCGCCACGAAAATAATGAATGAAGTTTCACCACCAAAATAATAAACTGGACAAAATTTCTCCACTAGAATAATGAATTAGAAAAAAATCCAAAGTTAGGTTATACACCCAGATAAGCAAGGTTAGAAAAAAATGTCTGGTCTCATTTTTCTACTGTTCCTTATTGTCCGACTGTGATATAAGACACGGTATTCTTCATTTTTTCTAACGATTGCCATGTGCCATATCACTTTTGTCGTGATATGAGACATTACTGTAGTTTTCATTTTCTAACGCCACTGTACAGTATACTGCCGTGTATCGTAAGTCCACACTATTGTTAAGTGTACTCGCGAGCTTAACCCGAGGGTGTTAGATTGTTGTGATTTCATACCTATCGAAAATTAGCCCATGAGTTTACTTGATACTGGCCTGGGCGAGAAGCAAAGTAAACTCGACCGTATTACTATCGTGAAGAGGGTCTACCTTAACTGTAAACATCTCGTGGTACTGGATTGAAGGAAATGACAAACTCAGCCTTATTGTCATCTTATCAGTAAGGTCCTGCGTATTAGTGTTAACTTTTGGCATGTACCGGGTGCGGAGTAACAAGGTAAACTCGTACTTATACCCCCGCAAAATAAGGTCCAGAGTTTGAGTGTGGTCACCTAGGACTTCGTGTTGGTAGTTCACCAGACTTGACTTACCTACCCTTGGGCCATACTCTTATCAACAAAAAATTTTATTACAGGTTTTCACCAAATTCCAATGAAGGTCGGGTTTTTTAATATCACTCATTAGATGTTAGTAAAGTGCTTATCGGTGTTCGAGTATTAATTACACTTTATCACTGTTGACGTTCGTAAATACTGTGCCCAATTATTCATTTAGGAAAAGCTAAACTAATGTAATTTAAAGAAAAATTACATGCATTTATGGAATCTATGATTGATAGACACAACTTCATTTGTGTAAGAATTTCAGTTTTAAGTATTTTTCTCCTGTAAGTCAGACTCAATTTATGTAGCTGTACCCATAACTACTTTTGTATTCGAATTACAGGGGTACTTACTTGAACTGAAGGTTTTGTATTTATGATGTTTGTTTGTCGTGTTATCTATTGGCTGGTTGGCTCTGTTGCTACTGTTTGTACTACTCGTTGTTCAGTGTTCCACTTTAGCTTATCGTATGTGTAAAATTTTGATTTTTTGTATGTATACAGTATGTGTTTGTAATTTTTGGTGTATGTTTGGGTGTTTTATAAAAGTGTGTACACATTAGAAGTGATGCACCCATGCATACTCTTATGTGTAGGTGGTGATGAGGGGAAAAGGGGGGAGGCTGGAAAGGTACTCAAAGAAAAGATAGTAGAAGTAGAGGGGTTTGTTATAATGTTATTACTGCGCTTCAGCAAGGTTAGTAATGTACTAGTTAAACAACAAGAAAAAATTGAAACAATTCTGTAGCAGGGGGCAATTAATTAACTTAATGAGTTAATTTTTAAAATCCTAATTAACTTAATTGCAATGTTATCAAATTAATTGATGAATTCTGATTAATTATCGATTAACTCATAAGAAAAAATAACAAGTATATATATAATACACACGAACCCTTGCGCCCAGTGAGTGAGCATCCATACCGTTGGCTTTCCTGTACAGTACTGCTGTACACGCATAGCTCACAGGCATGGGTCAATTAATTAACATAGTCATTAACTTGTACAAGTTATCGATTAAGTTAACTTAACAAGTTAACTTTTAAAATTCTTAGTCAGAAAAAATTAAAATTAACTTAACTAGTTAAATTTGAAAGTTAATTCCCCCATGCCCGTTCTGTAGAGGGGGAGAGTGACGGGGACCCTTTGAAGGAAGGCCTTCCTGGGCTGGGTTTATGTAAGATGGTAATGTTATGTACACACCCCTGAAGGGAGATAAAACATGTCTATTAGTTTGTGTCATTAATTACTTATTGTTACAGTTGGTAATTTTATTTTTTGTTGCATTAAACTTCATTTGTGCTAGTGTCTGCTGACAGTTAAGTGTAATGCTACTGTGTTTACCTGCAGTGCCACTCACAACAAGAGGATGAAGGAGCAGGTGTCATTGGAGCTGCAGTTTGTCAACAGCAACTTGCAGCTGCTCAAGGAACAGCTGACAGAACTCAACAGCTCTGTCGAGATCTACCAGGGCTCAGGGTACGTATTTCACCTTTACTATACCTTCTGTGCTTCAATGTTTCCACACAGAGGTTGTCACAGTATTTTTTTTTTAATCTTTACCCTTGTACAGTAGTGTTGACCCTTTTGAAGGTTGAACGTGCTTTCGGTGTAATGAGTCAGAAATTCAGCTAACCTCTCACATTATATTCTGGTAACCTCCCAAGATTTTGTAACCTGGTAAATGTCGTTGAACCTTATTTAGTAATGGCGCATAGTGGAGTCTGGTATTTTCACCATTTGTGTTCAGCGATGTTTCCAGGATCATATTATTGTATTACAGTACTACACAAAGGCATTTCCAATATTTTTTGTTTTAGTAAAATAAAATCTAATAATGACTGTCCAGCACTTTGAGGACATACTACATCTTATTGTCAGCATATCTGCCATTAAACTGTACTGTATCGTACGGAATATGCTTTTTACCCAAGTCACACTATATCTGCATGGCTCAAAATAAGACTTTTGTAAGTAATATTTGCCTTTTTCTTACATATTAATGTCTAGAAAAATAATTAACATAGGAACAAACTCATTTACAGAGCACAGACTGTGAGGACTGTCAGTAAAAAAAATTTTTCTATGTATTTAAAGGTCAAAACGCAGCATCCCGATGATCCCTCTGGGGCTCAAGGAGACTAAAGAGATCAACTTCAGAGAACCATTTAAGGTAATGTTGCTACTGTCGTATGTTTTATTCGTTACACCTTTATGTTCAGTCAGTAAAATAAGTATCGACCACCCCCAACCCCAAGGTTGGTGGAATAGAAAATTAGCAATGTGAACCAAGTGACGCCGGTAACCACAGGTACAATACACAATTAGTTTCAGCACAATGTTTCATAATTGTTACATACGGCAGGGTGATCGTTATTTTTATTTTCAACAAAAGTACATACTAACGGACCTGAAGGGATGAAGAGAATAAACAATTTAGGAACTACTATATTGTGAAGCCCCAGACCATTATGACCCCAGACAAAATGAGCATCAATATTGGAATGCTTTCTTGGCAAACTATGACCTTCACTTTTGGTTTTATTTGATGGGAGAGTGTTTATTGCTGACGCTCTGAACTGACAATCTAGTGGTCCTTGGTTTGGCTCAAATGTAAGGAGAGAATCTTTTGGATATACACATATCCTTATAGATATGGGGTAGGTATGTGTATTCCATCACATTTGGTCTGAGAGATCCACTCATAAATAATCTCCAATTTTTTAGTAGTCTGTAAACCAAGATTTACAAATTACTACAGGACACGTTCAGGTGTGGTGTACAATCTCACTGTGTTCTACATTATCATTCATATTCACAATATTTTTTCTATCCCTACTGTACTGTTATTGAGTTTTCAGTGCTGGTGTTCTTCATTTGCAGGACTTCATCTTGGAACATTACAGTGAGGAACCAGACAAGTATGATGAAGCCATCACAGAATTTATGGACCTAAGAGGGGTAAGTTCTTTTTTCTTTTCTTTTTTTTCATCATTACAGTATACTGTATTAGCTTCATTAATGAAAAAATACCAATACCAACAGTAGTTGGTTAATGTGTGTGGAGAATCAGCAAATGGATTGTTGGTGTTGTATTGTCAAGAGTTACAACACAAATGGGCAGTATCAGAAGTCCAAACAGTGCAAGAGATACAAAATTTGAGAATAGGCAATCTCTTTTTGATGAACATAATAGTGTATATAACTGAGGGGGATAATCAAGGATAGTCTTTTCTCATAGAACTTCCCTTTAAGATACCTCTCCTTTCCACCCCTACTTACATATCCTCCCCATCTAGTATGGGATTGAGTCTTGCCAGGGCCGGGGGCAAAGAATATTTTTCGGCCATTCTCAACCTGAGTGCCACCCCAGAGAACAGGTTGTTTGAGGTTGAGTCTTTGGCTAATATGTAATGCAAGTGAGCTTTGTAGTCTTTCAACAACACTTGTTTTATTTATACAGTAAATACTGTATTGTGCCTGTGTAAAGGCCAAATAGGATCTTTGATGGGAGACCAATCTATTCTGAGGTGCTAAAGGAAAAATTTTCCATAAAAAATGTAAATTTATTTACAATAATATACACACAAAATAGAAAACACTAATATTATATTCAAGTTACTAGGGGAGTATAATGATCTGCCGACACCTGAACATCAGGTGCAATATAATAGCTCTGCCGACAAGTCTGTCAGTAGTGGTGTATGGAGACGTGAGGTCGACTTGAGTACAGAGGAGTTCCAGCTCCCCCGAACAGCATACTCAAGGGATGGGGTTAGTCTTAAGTCGCCCCTGAAGTGGGATCCAGGTTGACTCTGGTCTGCTGGCCTCGGCGAGTCCCTACAACTAGACAAGTCAGGTGATATACCTGTAGGTCTCCTAGACCTAGAGGACAAGGACTGTCAAACACTGACGATGCCGTCTCTCACGCCCGACCCTTGACGTGGGTAGAGTCCTCCTAAATAACACATCAACAAAATCTTTCGCTCAAATTCCTACAGCAATAATAACACCTGGCATATTAACATAATACCTCAACAATCACCATAGACATATACCATAAACCAACAAAACATAAGCAAATAACAACAGAATATAATATAGACAAATCGGTAATAAAAATGAAGGGTTCTCTTACCGATGTGCTCTGTCGGAGGGAAGGAAGTCCTGTGACCACTCCACTCACCTTCCCAGTGCTCATCACCTCTGTTCCGGGCTGAGTAACCCAACACTATTATGATTACCATTTTCTCACAGCCTGGTTGTTTTATTGTTGAATGTATTGTAAAATAAAACTTACTTCAGTATTCAAGTAATTTGTGGATAGGATTAATCTTTTTTTTTTTTTTTAGGTAATATCATTAACTATTGTGTAACTTTCCAGGCCATGCGGACACCAGAGCGAGATGACTCCGGGGTTGCTCTCTTGTTTGAGTACTTCAACCAACTCTATTTTATTGACAGACGCTTCTTCCCTCCAGATCGGTCGCTTGGTATATACTTTGAATGGTAATTGTACGCTTATTTGTTTTACCATTGACAAATGACCTACTACAGGTAATAATTAAACTTTAAGAAAACAACTGGAAAAGTAGATACCTACAGGTTTAAACCCTTTATTTTGAGGATTTTCCGGTTTCCTGGGTTCTCAATTAGGTTAAATTCTCTTCCCTGGGACAGGCTACTTCAAGATTTACTTCCACACACTCACCCAAACTTACAGTACTTACTAAAGCACTACTAATGGTACATTTTAAGCTATACAGTGACCCCTCGTTTAATGAACGCCTCGGTTAACGAAATTTCGGTTAACGAACTGCCTTCCATAAGGATCTTCAATTCGGTTAACAAACAAAAATTCAGTTAATGAATTTCTTACGAACCGACCTCAACATGTTTTCGCTTGCACTGACCGGGCAACCAGCTTTAATATCAGTCCGCCAATACATTAATCGGTTCTAGGGCTTAAATTCCTTACTATTTTAGTAAATATCAAGAAGTTTATACTATTCAATAATTTTAAAAGTTTAATATTAACTTTTTTAGTCATTTTAACAATTATTGAACATAATTGAAGGTAAAGAAACTAGTTTCTGGCGTGCCATCCAGCCTGTTAACACACCAGACAGGCGTTAGTCTCTCTCTGTTTTCACTGGAGGTAACATCTTGCTTGAGACTCTCTTCAACTAAACGCTTTTTTTCTGTGTTTCCAAGCAAATTATTGGTCATTTTGAAATATATTTTACATATTGACAATATATTATGCAGTGCAGTGTTGATTTAAAGAAAATAATCTTGAAATACACCAAGAGAACTAAAATTTTATGGATGAAATGGTGCCATGGGGTGACTTCTCTTCCACCCCAATGCCTTTTCTTCTTCCTTCTCCTCCACCCCCATTCTAATTCCCATCATCATCATCATCCAGGAGCCTTCTACATACACACCTCAAAGCAAGTGAACTTTTCTACCATTTTTGTTGAATTTAGGAAATTTTCGGTGAGCTGGAACCAATTACCCAAAAACCCATTGAAACAATGGTTTCGGTTAACGAACGACCTTCTGGAACGGATTGAGTTCGTTAACCGAGGGGTCACTGTACACAGTGCAGTTCACAAAACCTCAGCCATAGTAAGCTAAACCTATAAGTTTTAGCCTTCACCGGTATCTGGTACACTATTAGTCAAAACAATTCCCTACCACTTCTAAAAAGAGTTTAGTTACATCCCAGAAGCTTTTCATGAGACGCGAGACTGTACAAGAAGAGTTCATAAATAATTATTGTATCATTGAATACAGCAAATGCACCACCTCGCAAAGTGATGTAAAGAAAATACTATAATAATATTTTATTAACATAAATAATATATGCTGTACTGTACAGTATAAAGAAAATAAATGTAAGTGTATTGGGCTATTTATTCAATGACAATAATTATTTGTGAACTCAATACAGTACTTCTTGCAAAGTTTCGTGACTGGCAAGAAGTTGCTGGGATAATATACTGTATATATATATATATGTATGTATATATATATATATATGTATATATATATATATATGTATATATATATATATATATATATATATATATATATATATATATATATATATATATATATATACATATATGTATGTATGTATGTATGTATATGTATATGTATATATGTATATATATATATATATATATATATATATATATATATATATATATATATATATATATATATATATATATATATATATATATATATATATACAGTCAACCCTCACATTACGCGGTCCCGCATTCCGCGGTTCACCGTTAACGCGGTGCCCTGCCGGAACCTAACATGCTCACATTCCGCGGTCGTGAACCCCATTACGCGGAGAGCGGCTGGCAAGCCGCGCCATTTTTGGATCCAAACCTCCCGCCATCTGCCATGTTGTGTAAGAGGCGCGAAAATGGTGCGCACAAGGTCGCCCAGTCATCAAAACATTACCAGTTCTTCACCCGCCACCCACTACAGCCGGCCCAAGTCAGTGATAGTGATAATTATAGTGAGGATATGGACTTATATGAACTTTGGGGGGTTTGACAAAGAGGCCCTGCAAGCCTCTGTGGTGGATAGTGATACAATTGATACAAGTGATACAGGTGAGGGCCAATAATCTGCCCTCTGCCTCGGAACCAACCGCCCATCCCCGTGTGCCCAGCCATCTTTTCTACTAATGTAAGTGTTAAAAAACCTAATATTATTGATATTTCTCTTAATTATTAATTGTGTGTGCATGCCATCATAAAGTTAAGATAATATTTTTACTACAACATAGTTGTGTGTCGTCAAAAAGTGGAGTTTGGGGGTCGGCCCGGACTCCATTTCAATTAATCCCATATTCATATATATATATATATATATATATATATATATATATATATATATATATATATATATATATATATATATATATATATATAATCTTGGTATATTCCCAAAGATGTCTGTAACAGCATCGCTGCTGCACACTGCTGTTTCATTTCCCGTGATTTTATATATATATATATATATATATTATATATATATATATATATATATATATATATATATATATATATATATATATATATATATATATATATATATATATATATATATATATATATATATATATATATATATATATATATATATATATATATATATATATATATATATACATACATACATATATATACACATATACATACATACATTATTATTATTATTATTATTATATATATTATTTTATTATTATTTTTTTTTTTGGTAAAACTATCATTAAACTGGGCTTGTGCGAGTGTGTGGAAGCAAAGCCTCACATGGTCTACAGTTAGTCAAGAGGAAACAGTTGGATGGCCCAGGGAAGAAATTTTAACCTAAACCAGTACATGTAGAAGATGTCTAGTTTTTGAGAATCGCCTGGTTTTTTTTTTTTAATGTTAGAATTCATCTGAATTTACAGTTGCCATCGAAAATAAAAATTCTGAAAAGTGCAAAAAAAATCAGGTTTCATTACAGTACTGTAGTTGGTTTCACACTTGACATGCTATCTGGACATGAACAGCAGAGCAACTACCCATTGTGATTTTTGTTTGCTACTCTGATTGGCAGTGTTTAGTACAGTACAGTATACAGTACTCTAGATTTAACGGAATCCGTTATAACAAATTCTTGATTTAGCAGCAGGAATTTTTTTTTATTTTTTATTCGATTTAGTGAACTAAATCAAGATTAATTCTGTTCATACGCTCACACCTACGGAGACACCTGAGACGCATGATATGTACAGTGCATAGAAACATTGGAAACATTATTCATGGCTTACCTTAAACTAGGGGGTTTGGTGTTTGTTTTCAATTTTTCTGTAATTTCCAAACTTTTTTCCAATTGATAGCCACACTCTTTTGACTTTCTCCTCCACACCACTTTCTTTCTGAGACTTCTGGCATGATGTCTAAGCACAGTAGTAGTTGACCAAAAGGTAGACCAAGAGGTAGCAGTGAACAACACACGCAGTGGCGACAGGACACAGACTGAGCGGATGTAAACAAACCCCACACGCCAAGCTGCACATTTGGCGCAGAATTTAACGGAATCAGGCTCGATTTAATGAACAACTGTAGTTCGCTAAATCAAGCGAAAATAACGGAAATTCGGTTTAGTGGAAATTTTGATTAGTTCGTTAAATCGAGAAAATACTATACTGTATTTGTGTACAGTATTTACTGATTATGATGCGTTTACTAAATGTTTAACTTCATCTGGACCATTTTTAATTTTAATTCTGTCTTTTCTTATTTTTTGGCTGTGATTTGGCAGCACCAAGGTGTTTAAAATAATTCTTCGAAGTCTGGATTTCTGACACTTTCATTTTTTTTATTATAGAATCCTTAGGTTGTACTGTAGTTTAAAATTCTTTCTATGTTACCATAAAGTATGTCATATGTAAGGAAGAATTAAAAATCACAGTTTCAGTACCCTTGTTTATTGTTCTTTTCAGAGGTGACAGTTTAAAGTGTTAATATATAATGTACAACTTTTTCTCATATGTTGATATGCGTGATATACAGTCTTTACCATTTTTTTTGCTGCAGGTACGACTCTCTCACGGGAACACCAAGCTGTCAGAGAACGGTTGCATTTGAGAAGGCATGTGTGCTGTTCAACCTTGGGGCATTGTACACACAGCTTGGGGCACGCCATGACAGAACCTCCTCTGCAGGACTTGATGCAGCAGTTAACAACTTTTTGCGGGCAGCGGGGATGTTCCGTTATCTCCATGACACATTTACCAATGCCCCATCCAAAGACCTGAGCCCAGAAGTTCTTGATATGCTCATTCACCTCATGCTGGTGAGTACTGTACAACATATGGCTTATTTATAGAGTACTGTACATACCCAATCTAATTTAGGGGTTTTCCCATATCCTTGCAAATTGGTCTGCAACCAAGATTACTAGGTGGTGACCTGTTGTTGCAGTCTACAAACCTACTTGAATCAAGAGCTTTAATTGCTCCTCTCGTGTGGCAGTGAAAGTTATTTTTCATCTTTCTCATTTTCAGTTCTGAAATGAACATGAGAAAAACATAGAATAAGAATCTGGCCTTAAGTGCAATAATTTATTTAGGTACAGTATTCCCTTAAAGCTTGTGGTTTTAAAGCTTGCGTCCCACGGCTGTGTGCCAGGACAGTACAGAGCACCATTTTTCCCAGGTCATAAGATATACCCTATAATTAGCAAGGTATATTTTGGAGAACAAAAATTTGCTGATTTAATAGCCCACTGTACTGGCAAAGCCAAATCACTGGCTATATGCTATCATGTTTCTCAATACCACAGCTCACTCTCACTGTATGGACCTATTATCATACATTTGTTGGTATTATAAATAAAATTTGCCTAATTTAATACAAAAGGATATAATTATACTTATAGGTACCTACGGTATACACATTACAAATACTTATCAGTACCAGGCATGGTCACTAGGAACTGTCCACTGCAGGGATTATTTACATCCTGTGCACCAGATCAGCTGACGATAGTTATTAATAAATTTATTTTGCACACTCCTGGGACTAGCATGAAAAACTCGCAGATTTTGCTTTCTCATGGGGTCCATTTTACCTAACCTCAGTGAGCTTTAAGGGAATACTGTATAGGCACAGTAGCAGTAATGGATCAGTATTACAGTATTGTGTCTTCGCAGATTTTAAGACTTCACTTATACAGTACTGGATAAAGTTTTACTTAAATTTTTATACTTGGAGAGTGATTTTATTATCTGATGTGAGAAGAGATTGAAAGAGGAATGTAAACAGTGTAGTGGCTGTTGGAATATTACATGCATTTACTTTGTTAAGGAAAAATTAAATACAGAAATGTACTGTTGACCAATAATTCTGGATTTTATACAGTATTTGTATTTGGGCTTTTTGATCTTTAAGGTCAAGTTTGTAATGATAATACAGTAATTTGTAAAAGAGGAGGAGGATATTGCTTATTCTTCACACAGCGTTACCTTCTTGAATAGGAGACCTACCTGGTAGTTAGAAAGTATTATTAAGTTATTTAATATTTTAGCAAAATGTAACCTTCATATGTTTGTTGTATTTGTTGTTAATGTCTTGTACCTCATGGATTAGGCTCAGGCTCGGGAGTGTCTACATGAGAAGGCACTACTGGGCCACGCTGAATACTTGGAAACTGTTGTAGAACTGTCTCAAGAGGCGGCACAGGTTGCTCAAGAGTACTCACAGGTAATGTCTGAACATTATATTATTTTATGGTAATTTTGTTTTGATCTTTATTATATTATTTATCTATTGTATAAGTTCCCATCTAAAAAGAATACCTTTTTAGAAGTAACAATAACATGTTTCGTAATGCCAACACAATATGTTGGGTATTTAACTGTAATTTTTGGTTGCATATTTTGTGATAATGATGAATTTGTTAGTGTATTTACTAACTGGGATACTTATCCTTTCTGACACTTATCAGTTTATTTGTTGGTCAGGCAGTCCATTTTTCTCTGTTACAAACTGCTGGTAAGCACTGGTCATGTATGGGTTCTTGAAAATCTTATTTTAAATGGATTCACACTTAATGCTGTCACAGTATTTTCTTACAGGTTATTCCAAGTCTTCACAAACTCTTATTCCAAAGAGGTTAGCTTTAATAAATTTCTGTACTGATCACTTCTTCAACTTGAAGATGTGACCTCTAGTGGGGGCAATCATCCACCAACATTGACTGAATAATGCTGTTCGTTGCCTAGCTTGTACTTTAGATGGGCTAAAGGTGAATTAAAAGAAATTTATAAGCACCTCAGAGGACATTACTCTGTTTAGTGTTCATACCAATTACTAGTGGATGTCCGCCCCACTAGAGATCACAGCCTCAGGTTATAGGAGGCACAAATTCAAAGAATTATCAGGGTAAACATTTAAGAGTGAGAGTTGTGAACTCTGGAAATAACCTGCCAGAATGTTGTGACTGCACCGATTGTTAACTCATTTAAGACGACTTCACCAACTCTGGCACAGGCTCAGATACATTCTGGAGCCAACACATGCTCAGTACTTGCCAATACGTATTGTGTAACAGAGACATGACCAACTACCTAAGTGGCAAAGAAGATAAAGTATAGATGCCTTTAAACTTATATAGCATTGCCCCATATGTGTCTATAATATAAACTACTGTCGTCTATTAAAGAAATTCTAATCTCTCTCTGAGTGTGGTGGTTGAGTGTTGGTACCAGAGTCGTGGCTGCCTTCTGGACATTGTCAATCAATTAAGTCTATGGTATATCTCAAAGACCAGACAGAATCACAGTACTCCAAGTGAGGACCTTCATATTATAAGTCCTACCAGTTTATTAGGAAGATTCACCTCCTTCAAACAATGATTCAAAATTGTTTTTTTTTTCATTTTCAGTATTAACACCCATAATTGGATATACAAAAGCAAATGCATGTTGACAAGCATTTCCTTGGAAAAAAAAGGGAAAATCAAATATGAACAGCAGATATGAAATGAGGTTGAGGTGGAGGCATGTTGATATACATCTTTGGCATTTATTAGCAGGAATGAAGTTTTTCTACCAAATGCAAGACATTTTTAGAAAGTGCCAGAGGTAATATAAATTGAATGCCATGACAATATTTCATAAAGTTGGATACTGTGCTGTACTTTGAGAACCACTAACTGAAAGGAAAAAATCAGGGAAATCGTCAAATACAGGGGTAATGCAGAGGAATATTTTATGTACTGGATTTTCTAACACGATATGTCCTTGCAGGTGTTGAAAACAATTTCTGGCGCATCAGTGAAGGACTATGTGCCCGCCTCGTGGATCAGTATGGTGCATATCAAAGTGGAATATTACCGAGCTCGTGCCCACTATCACATGGCAGAGTCCTTGCTAACCCTTCCTGTTGGTGTGAAAGATGAGGAGCAACTTAGCCTTAGGGTCCAGGATGCTCTACAGTTTGTTCATCTGCCTCCTGTTAACACCACCACTCTAGAAATTTCAGTCCCTACAACTCCTCAAGAACGTACCCTTCTCGGTAAGTGTAATACTGTATTTAATAGCAGTTGTTATTAATTAAAATTTGATTGCCTGATTTATCTAGACATAACATAAAAATTCAGTAATGCTAATTCCATTTATTTGAACTTTTAAAATTTTTTACCTCCTCCATCACTTGCATTTTTCATTTATTGAACTCTTTGCTCTTTTCAAATGTAGGACATATATTCTTTTACCTTTATCCTCTTCACCACTGATCGGGTCATTAGCCACTTGGGAGATCAGTCACGTCTCTGTTACACACTGTTGGCAAATACTGGCACCAGAATATATCTGTACCTGTGCCAATGTAGGTCAAGTCTGGCAGATTGTTCCAAGAGTTTACAATTCTCACCCAAAAAAGGTTTGCCCTGACAATTTTCCGAAATTGTGGCTTCTTCAACCTTGAGCTGTGACCCCTAGTGGGGTGGGCATACACCAGCTTCAGGTATGAACACTCTACTGAGATGTTTATAAACTTCAATTAAGTCACCCCTTGCCAGCCTATACAGTAGTACAGTATAAGCTAGGCAATTGCAGGTGTTCTCGTCTCATTGGGTAATTGATCGCCATAGAGCAGGCACCAGAGTGGTGGCCCTCCTTTGGACATTTTCAATCAACTGACAGTTTCTTGCATACAGTATCTCAGGGACCAGATGGGGTGCCAGTACTCCAAATGGAAAAACAAAACATTCTTGAAGATTTGTTTGATTCACCTTCTCACAATGGCCCAAGAACTTTAGTTCGTTTTCAACATACACACCTAGGTCCTTTTCAAATTTGATCTCTGTTAATGCTGTTTCCTCATCCCGTTGGAACATGTGATACGCCTCCTTACTGTTAGCATGACCCAGGTGCATCCTCTTGCACTTTGTGACATTGAATCTTAACAGCTATTTCTTTGACCACTCTTGAAGCAGATGAGATCTTTCTGTGGCTCTTCACAGTCCATTTGGTTCTTAATTTCCTGAATAACTTGGCATCATCTGTAAACATTTATATGGAGGAGTGTATAACTTCTGGCATATCATTTATGAAACAAACAAACACCAGCAAGCCCACTTCACTGCCCTGTGGTACCCTGCTTGTCACGGGTATGCATGACAATTTTGTGCCATTAATCACCACACACTGCTTGCAGTCATGAAGAAAGTCCCTGATCTACGCTAGGACGCTTCCCTGAATCCTGTACCGTTCGAGTTTAATTCTCAGCCTTGTCCTGATCCAAGTCCTTTCCACCCATGGTGTATCTGTATAGGAAAGCCTAGCTGGAATATGGGTTGCCTGTTCATCCTATTGCCATTCAGAGGACACACCCACATGTACTTCCCAAAGTCTATCACGTTTAAAGAAAAATCTCTTCCTCTTTTCTTCCTTTGTTACACAATTTAAGACAATATACAACTCATGAATTCACTGGCTTTAAACTTGTAATATGTTCATATTTTATACCACAAATTACCCTAATTTGTTTCATTTTTGGCTAATGAATTATGAAGTGTTATGGGTAGGTAACTGCCAGCAATAAAGAGAAGTTTATAGTGGAAGGAAAGATTGCTAGAAGGTGCATTTGTGTACAGTATATACAGTATAGTGTAGTTAGACATGAATGGTAGTATGAAGTTGGTGTGAGGTGTGGCACAGCATAAATTTAGGAGTACTGTACTGTACATTTAAAATGTGGAAACGATATTGTTGAAACGGCATATGATTCTTTCTTTTTATTTATGCAGGATACAAGATTGAATATTTAATCAGATTTTTTTCTGGATTTAGCACAAGCTGCTGCACAAAATTGTATTATATAATACAGATGTGTCCATTACACAATGGTGTAAAAGAATGAGGTTGCTGTAAGGTGCAATACAACCTACACAAAAGTTTACAAACATGATGAGGATTTAGAAAGCTAGGATCATGAGAGAGAAATGAAGCTCAAAGAAGCCAAGGTGGAAGGTGGAATAGGGTGAGGTGAGGTTAAGGTCTTATAAGAAGATCGTTCAGATATCTAGATGGTCCATGCCTCATAACGATCTTCAAGAGTGAGGTTCTTCCTTGCCTGGAGTACTGTCACCCCGTCTGGTCCCCGAGATATGCTCGGGACTGTCAGTTGATTGAAAATGTCCAAAGGAAGGTCACCAGACTGGTGCCTGCACTTTGGCACCTCAGCTACCCAGAGAGATTAGAGCGCCTGCAATTGCCTAGCTTATACTACAGACGGGCAAGGGGGGGACCTAATTGAGGTGTATAAACATCTCAAAGGGCACTACTGAGTCGAGCGTCCATACCTGGAACTGGTGGATGCCCACCCCGCAAGGGGTCACAGCTCTAGCTTGAAGAAGCTGCAAGTCCAGAAAACTGTGAGGGTGGACTTTTTTGGAGTGAGAGTTGTGAACTCTTGGAACAACCTGCTAGAGAGTGTTATGATGGCACCAAGTGTGAGCTGTTTTAAGATCAGACTTGACCAGCACTGGAGCAAGTTCAGATACATTCAGGAGCCAGTGCATGCCCAATACTTGCCAACAGTTCGTAACAGAGATGTGACCGACCACCCAAGTGGCTAACGAGCTTATCAGTGGCGAAGAGGATAAAAGTAAAGTAAAAGTAAGAAAAAAAATTGAGTGTTTGGTCTGAACTTGGGAATGGCTGCAGATCTGATTTAAAGCTCCTTACCTCCCTTAGATCCTTTGTGTGTTGCAAGGAATATGGGTGGAGAACTGAGCTTGTGACTTATTTGCTATTGCTGAGGCGAGTTCTCAGAACAGAATTTGCTTTGGTGTACAGTAGTCGATTTGGTCCATGATTCATTCAGCCAAAAATGCTGATCATGTGGGATACATTTACGTTCTTCTCCAAACAGAAAATAGGACTGCACAAAAGCTCAAACCATTTTTTTCTTGTACAGCATATGTTTTCTCTTGAGTTATGGATATGGGGATTTATGCAAATTAAATACTAAATAATTATATGTAGTGAGAATTAGTCTTAACTATTGTGATTTATTTCAATCAAACAGCTGTTTCAGTCATACTAGAAGCTCATTCTACTAATTGTCTTTTCAAGGTCTGGCTCATTGTCGTGAGTCGGTGTTAGTTCACGAGGAGGCAATGCGACAGCAACGAATGTGTCGGGAGCTCAAGAAAAAGTCTGCTCTGACAGAAGTGTTGAGCTTTGGTCATGAGGCTGCCGTTCATCTTCTTGATCTTTATGAAGAAGAAGAAGACTTACTAAATGTTTTGGACCCGCCTCCCATCGCACGTAAGTTTGAGTGACAGAAGATACTCCAGGTGTTTAGAAATACTGTAATTGTTAATGGGTTACCTTTTGAGAGGCCGGAGGATTTCATCACCTTTGTACCTTTAATTCACCCCTTATAGCATAAAAAATATGAAAGATCTATTTTACACATTCCAACCCAAAAGCCTAAATACTGTAGAATTCACACAAATTATGAAGGTTATTAATAACACCAATTCAGGCTCCAAGAGCATAGTAGACATTTAAGCTGGTACTTACAATACGGTACGTAATAAAATTTAAATAAGAATGAGGAGTATGTTTCAGACATGGTCTGCCTAAGACTAGTAGAATCAGTATAGGGACCATGGCCAAGGATTGAAAGAGAATGGGTGAAGAAAGTGATTGACAAAATGAAGAATGGAAAGGTGGCTGAAAGCTCTCAAATAGTTGCAGAAGGCTTCAGATGATGTAGGTGTGTCATTGATAACCAAATTGAGTTATACAATCATGATGGAATGTATTTTTCTAGGTGACTGGCAAAAGAGTGTGATTGTGAATACTTATAGGTGATGCACATGAATGTGGGAACTAAAGGGACCTAAAGCTGTGTCAGGTTATAAAATTTGTGCAGAGTGACTGAGAAATTGATAAGAGAAAGAGTGGACATTAGTGAAATACAATTTGGGTTCATGTCAAGTAGGGGAATTACAGAGGCAATATTTATGGTCAGGCAACTACTTATTTGTAAATTTATCGAAGGCATTTACCTGCAGTAAGATACCAAGTGAAGCAGTCAGGTGGCCAATGAGAAAGCTAGGGGTCAAGGAGTCTTGTTTGAGTGGTATGGTGTATGTGGGCTCAAAAACTGTTGTGAAATAAATGGTGAGGTATTTGAGGTGAAAATAAGTGTTCATTGGGGGTCTGTCTTGAGGCAGTATAATGGGACTTCAGAACTAGTCTGCCCTAGGAACTGTTGTATACTGATGACTTGGTGCTGATAGCCAGGCAGAATTGAAGAGGCAATGATGAAATTTAAGAAATGGAAAGATTAAATAGAGTCAAAGGGTCTGAGAGTGAAGTGGCAAAAACAAAGTATTGATTTGTGGGTAAGGGACCTGTGGTGGAAAGTGAAAAATAGCCATGTGCTGTCTGTAAGAAAGGTGTTGGAAGCAAATCAATAGTGTGCAAAGTGGGTACACAAGAGGTGCAGTGAGGTAATTAGCTGATTTTAAATGTCCTGTTTGTGCAGGTAACCATGTGACTCAACAGTAAGGATATATTTCTGGACTGTGCCAATGGATTCTGTTACCCGAGTGACCTTGATCACTGCTGGAGTGGGTCCTGAAGCAAGAGTCAGAAGTGGCTGGAGGAAGTATAAGGAGTATCTGCCTTTAATGACAACAAGGGGACATTCCCTTTGTGTGAAAGAAAAGAAGTATGCAACCAGTGTGAAAAGTGTGATGTATGGCAGTGAAGCATAGGCAGTCAAAGAGGATGACATATGTAGGCTTGATTGAGCTTAAATGAGAATGGTGAGGTGGATGTGTAATATGACACTGAAAGATAGAAAACCCTGCTCAGAACTAAACGTGCAGCTTGGTATTGAGAGTACAGGGTATTGGCAAAATTTTGCATAGAGGTAAACTGAGATGATTTGAGCAAGTGGAAAAAATGGATGAAACCATGAGTCTTAATTGTGGAGGGGAGGAGAGCCAAGAATGACATAGGGAGAGATTTTAAGAGAAGACATTAGAGTTAAGAACCTGACGTGACCATGCAGCAAGTAAATATTTGTAACCCTTGCAAATGTGGAAAATGACCTTAAAAAATTGCTTCATTGTTAGTTGCACTGTTTCTTATAGAGCAGTGCATTTTAGGTAATGAACAAATTTCATGAAGAAATGTGCAATTAGGGTAAATTTTCATAAAATGTTTCAGCGGCAACAAAGGTTCAGCTTTCCCTAACTGCTCCGGACTTCTCACAACATCGTGTAGAGGACGTGTTTAAGCTGTTGGGGCCAGTTGCTGTGTTCTCTGCCAAGCACCAATGGTCAGCACCACGGCCCTTATCAATAACACGAACGCCGACTCAAGGTTTTGGCTTCTCAGTGAGAGGAGATGCACCTGTGGTCATAGCTGGTGTGGACAGAGGCAGCCTAGCAGAGGTATGTTTTTCAGTTAAATAATTTTGGTGTCTTAGAAAGTGGTTGTCAGTGTGCCAGATTTCATTTTTCATTATGAATTCCATAATGTGCATTGTAAGGGGGCAAGGAGCTTTTCTTTGTACATAAAATAATATATACTGTACCAGTAAATGAGGAATAGATAAAAATAATAATAAATAAAATATTAAAAAAAACTCCTGCGTTGCCATTTGTTTCACGAGACAGCGATCCGAAATCCCCATGCCGTTCCCCTGTTCTCTATGCTAACTCCTGCGCACGTAAGAAATTTTTATTTCCTTTATGTTTTTGACCTTAAAGTATATTTTTTTCACGTTATGTATGAACAATTGTGTGTGCATGTAACAAAGTGAGAAAAAATTATGTCTATCCCCTTTCTGTGATAACTCCCATATATATAGGTATATATAATTTTTTTTTAATTCATAAAAAATGTATAAATGAAATGTATAGCAAGGCATACCAGTACAGTACTGTTATATACTGTATATATATATTTTTCACAAGTATGATTTCATGTAAAGAAATCTTTCATTGACATTTCAGAGAGCTGGCATGAATGAGGGTGACTTGGTGGTGTGTATTGGGACACGAGATGTGAAGTGGATGCCACATGATGAGGTAGTGTGCCTCATACGAGATGCTGGCAACACGCTCAACCTGACACTAGTCACACCTTGTGACAAAACCTATTATAAATTACCAAAAGTAAGTACTTTTTCAATTTATCACTAACCTGTGTACTTGATAATTTTGTCAAGGGCTATTTTGAAGCCCAATACTGTTTGTGATTCCACAGCTTGGGGTGGTAGACCATTAGTGAATTTTTTTTAATCAACCAGATCTGAGTAGAAAATGTAGGAAGTGATGCTGAGGTGTACTGTACAGTACAGTACAGTACAGTACTTGTATACTATGTGGAGGTAGATAGATATTTATTTATAAAATCATCATACACATTTACAATTGGATGAATAGGCAGTGCAGGTACAGTATACAATTTCCAATATACGTACTGTACCTCGACAGTACAAACAGTAATACAATTTGACGAAGGCTGATCACCAAAGCCATCAAATGTTATCTCCAGGAGGTTCCTTTGAAGTATTCAAGTGTAGAGAAGCAAAATTAATGGTGTCTATAGAATAGTAGCATGTAGACAATCGGTTATCTTTTTTAATGACCAAAGAATTTGCTTCACAAGCACCTGCACAAAATGCAATGATCCTTTATTGTGGTGTTACTAGATATTCTGGGCCAGTGGAGAAAAATATAGTGCAGTACTGTATGAAGTATATCAGAACAACAATAACAAAATATTTTCTTTTCTTCCCTGAAGGTCAGGCTCATCCCTAAGAATTGGGTAAAAATTCATGTAAATAATATGATTTCCCCTCCTAAGAGTAACATATGGTACCGCATGCCCTAAAAATTCGCGAATAGCCAAATCCGCAAAGATAATTTGCTGACTGGGTACATTTTTACTCGTGTGCAAAGAAATGTACAGGTATATTCCCTTTGTGTTTGTCCTTAGGACAATTATTTCTTTTACCTGTATTGTATATATGTGTGTGTAGACACACAAAACACATTCAAATAAATAATAATGGGAAAATCCTTTCACAAATAATCTGAAACAAGACAACAAAATGTATCAAAATGTAGAAAAAATTGTGAGTCTACCCTCAGGTCAACTCTGTGCTTTTTTATTAAAGTTGAGTTGGTTGGATTGTCATACAGCAATTTTTTCCTCGTAAAAATTAGTCTCTAGAACGAATGACATCTGAGTGCCAGCTGGGTTGATAAGTACCCGGGTAGATCAAACTTACAGAATTTCTTTCGTAGCTATCTAGCCAACCCAACATGAAGGATGTCAGTAATTGTGGTGTAATAATGTGTACTTTTTTCACAATATATATGTAGGATGGTGTGTGCATGTAACTGAGTAAAAATAAATGAAGAAGGTTACATATACAGGTGCTCCTCTACTTACGAACGAGTTACGTTCCTGAGGCTTGATTGTAAGTCCAATTGTTTGTAATTCCAACTTTACTCTTGTAGATACCAAACCTATTGTAAAAAATGAAAAGCTTATAGATATTTAGTACAGCTATACCCTTTAATACAACCTTAAAACCTGGCTCACTCTTCTCCTCTTAGGTAATGTTTGTTCTATCTGGAATTTTCTTCAAAATAATCCAGTCTCATCCACAGTAAACACCTGTTCTGGCAGGTAATCCCCCTCCCCAAGTGATGATGTTTGTATCTCTGAAAGTTTGTAAGTTGAACGTTTTTAAGTAGAGGAGCACCTACTGTATCTACCTGAAAATACAAGTTGAAAAAACCTAGCTACAATGCCATGATTAATCACTGTTAAGCACTATTCTATCAGTAAACTCTATTAATAACAGTAAATCCAGTGAAATATGGCTGCAAAAATGACGGCAACTTTAAAACTACCCGCAGACAATCTTGGGTACATCTAGGGTGTCATCCGCGAATAATCAAGAGCCGTGAATTGTAAGGGCATGCTGTACAGAAATCCTCTTTGGTACTGTAATTTGCCTGTTGTCTGTTCCCACTTTTTCTTTTTTCAAATCACTTACACACACTGTACTGTATTACAGTAAACTTACTTTGCCTATTTTCAATATCAGTGGAATCTGGGACATGAGAAGAAGGTAGTTAGTTAACAATAGAATATGCTGTACATATTAACTTAAATACCTGTACAGTACTGTATATAAATAGAAGATTTCAAAAATATTTCATGACTAATTTTACGTATATTTTATAGAGCAAGAGTCTAAAGGACATATCACCACACTCCACCACAAGCAGTAGTAGTGGAGTTAGCAGCAATAGCAGCACCAGTAGCAACAGCAGCCATTTTGGTTCAGTTAATAGTTCCACACTATCAACCAAAGACAAGGATAAACGGAATAGCTGGAATCCCTTCAAGCGATCAACATCAAGAGACAAACTGAAGTCTGACACACTTATTGACTGTAATGTTATTTTACGGTAGTTAGATTCACTGTAAAGTTCCCTATATTGTTTGATTACTGTATTAACACTCTGGATTACCAGCCATCAACCACCCACACACTGCTGGACTCTACCCCTGACAGCATGGGTTTGAGTATGGGTTCTGTGACCCATAGAAAATATTTATACCTATGACCAGTCATAGCCAGACACTTTTGTGCCCTGGGCAAGTTTCACAACTGGCTCCAGGAATCTCCATTGCTCAAATAGAAACATGAAGTAAACTAGCATACTCTGTTTTGGAAAATAACATCAGCTTTTTCTCGACTTATCGGGTGGAGAGGAAAAACTCAATGAGCGAAAAACAACAGATTTGGGAGGAAATGGAAAGAGTTGCTCCATGGGAGGATCATTTGAGGGTGAAGAGATGGGAAGAGGGCTGGGGGAGGGGATAGGTGGCAGGAAGTAAAGAAATGGGAAAATGAAAGAAGACGGGAGGAATAAAAAAAAAAATAGAATTAGTGCAGCTTAACTTATTCCATTATTTTTTTGGTATCTTACCATTTTTTCAAACAATGATCATTTTTGATAAGATATGAATAATAAACACAACTCATTTTACTTAAACACACATGTTCTTTGTGTTCACTTTCAGTTAAATTTTCAAATGCAAGTTGTCAAAACAAATGTGGCAATGTTTAGCCGAAGCGGTTTTATTCTTATTAAATTTATATTTTTATGATTATTGATCACTTCACTGGCAGTAGTTTGTTATACAGTGGTCCCTCGGTTAATGAACACAATTCGTTCCACAGAGTCGTTCGTTAACCGAATCCATTGTTTCAATGGGATATTGGGTAATTGGCTCCAGCTCACAAAAGTACATACAAAGTAAAAAACAAAATGCAGTAAAGTACACTTACTTAATGGTGTATATGTAGAAGGTTCCTGGTTGATGATGATGATGGGAATGAGAAGTGGAGGTGGAGGAGAAGGGAGAAGAGATGGAAGTGAGGATGGAGGAGAATTCACCTTTCAGGGTACCCATGCTTGATGCAGTAATTTCACCAATAAAATTTTAAGTTCACTAGGTGTAATTCCAGATTATTTTATTTAAATCAACACTGCACTGCGCTATATATTATCAATATGTTCACTAAATTTCAGAATGACCAATAATTTTAATGTAAAAATGCCAAAATATTCAAGACGCCAACAAAATCGATGTTCACGCCACTGTAAACAAAGCCAAACTGACGCCTGGTGGGTGAGTCAAGCAGTTGATGGGCGCACAAAAAATTAGTTCCCTGTACTGCATATATTATCAATATGTTAACTAAATTTTAAAATGACAAATATTTTTAATATAAAAAATGCAAAAATATTAAAGACCACAACTTTCTTGATATTTACTCCACTGGAAACGAATGTAAACATAGAACAGATTACTGAATTGGCAGACTAGCCCATCAGCTGATGCTCACAACAAAACGTGTTTGTCGTAAGGATTTCGTTAATCGAAGTTTTGTTCATTAACCGAATTGAAGATCCTTATGGGAGGTACAGAGGGTAATTCATTAACCGAAATTTTGTTAATCGAACCGTTCATTAACCATGGGACCACTGTACAAAATAAAAGATCTGTTTAAAACAACATGGCCCACGTCTGGCAAAAAGCAAGCCTCACACACCAACGTTCAAGGCACACTGAGCCACTGGATGTCTGCGAGTCTGATTTTGTTCAAAGAAGTCGACGTCATGGATCGACAGCCAGTTTGTATTAAATATATTAATAATTGTAAAAAATAAATAAAATAAAAATGTATACAGTAACAATAAAGATAAAATATGTCAATAAATTTTGTTACAGTATTTGAAAATGGCATAGCTATCCTAAAAATTTGACTATCATAAGATTGAAAAAAAAATTCCCAAGCAGCTTGCCAAAATTTCAGTCACATGTTGAGACATGAAGAAGACCCGTGCTTAGCGCCCAAATTATGCCCTCTTACCCTGGCTACGGTACTGCTTTTGACTATAGGAAAAGTTCTAAATGAAGTAGGACTGCCATTTTGTTACCCCATAAATATTGAAATATTTATCTAAATGTTATTTCCAATACAGTAAATACCCTGTATGCTGTAAATGAAAACTCATTTCTTAACTAAATCATGAGTTAAATACAAAATGTAGCTTTTGTATGGATATGTAAAAGGTAATTTTTATTTTTTACATTATTTTTTCGAAAGTACAGTATTGTGTATGTAGACAAAGCTTATGATCAATGGAATATATAACTTAAATTTTGTGGAATTTTCTTGGTACATTTCATATAAGAAGTGGCCCAAACAGTAAAGTAGTCCAGAGTGTTAACATTTAAATTACTCTTGCATAACTGTAATATATACCAGCAAATTCAGTATTATTTTTGTTTATTGGAATACATACTGAACCTCTGCAGTGGTAAAGATTTATTTACTTGTTAAGGTTCTAAAATAACCAGCCTGTGGAATTTGTTTTTAAAAATTCACTTTCTTCAGCAGAATGCTGATAATAAGGATTTAGAGGCTTTTATCTTTCAACATCTTTGATATAGGGTACTTAAAAGAGTAAATATACAGGTTGCTTAGTAAGTATTCACATGGAAGTAATTGGAGGAGGCAGAAAAAAGTAAAGGGAACACTGGTAGAAAAACAGATTTGATGTGTAGCAGATCATGAAGGCATGTGCAGAGTAATTGTAGAAAAATAAATTACAGTCCACAAGAAAAACTAATCGGCATATTAATATAATGAAGGTAAATCTATGCTTTATGTTGCAATTTTATTTTCTTGGAAGATCATTGGTTAATGCTATTTACCTATGACTAGCTATGAAAACACAATTACAGTATGTAACCTTTTAACATTTTCTTATACTGAAGTTGTGGTTTAGCTTACTGGTGTACAGTAATGAAGACATGTTAGGGAGAGGTCTCATTCAAACATATAGGTGATTTGATATTCAAATCATAGTGAAAATGATTTTAAAAAACTGGCTTGATTGAATTAGTGTATAATCTTTCTTGTTTGTATGCATTTAAAGTGACTATATAATTGTCCCTTTAATGCTGTGGGATGTTCTGCATTTTATAGCATAATATCAGCTTTCAGTCTTAAATTCATAAACCGTATCTTTATAAAGTATGAACATTAATAAAAATTTTAAGATATTACAGTACAGTATTATAAAAGTTGCACAATTTTGTCTTCTCTAGTATGTGTTGGGAAGTTGATTGTTATATATACAGTATATAGACAGCTAAATTTTACAGAGAAGTGACAGCTTCTTAACAAGATGAGAGAGAATCATCATTAAGTTTGTAGGGTTCTATGAATTCCTGCTTTGAAAGTAAGTGTTTCTAGTGTATTTTTGTTAGGTTTATATGGAGTACTTATTTGAAAATATTTGATGTCTGTAGGTGGGGAAATGGTAAACTTAAAGCTAATGTGCTGCTTAAATTTTGTTTTTAGTAGCAACTTGTGAAGTAACTTAGTTTGTTAATTGTCTGACTGCTTAAGTGTATTGTATACTGGATTGTAGTCCATGGTACTCACAATAATATATGTGAATATATAATCATATATAATCAATCTTGAAGTATGAACCAGTTGTAAGCTGAAGTGGTGTTTGTTGTTTGTGCATAGGAGAGTGGCATTAGAACATAAAATTATTTTAATCTCGTGTATAGGTATTTTATCAGCAGCAGAATTTTTTTCTCATGACTTTCTTACAAGAAAAATTTTACATTGGCAGGTAAATTCACAGTGTTATATTAATTAATATATTATGTATATAAATATATATATATATACAGTATATGTAGTTGGGTGTGTGTATCTATAAATGTGTATACCTGTGCATACATCACCTATGTATGTATTTATATGTACAGTATATACCCATGCATGTCTATACATAAGTCTGTATGTATATACTGTACAGTACACATATATGCATACACACACTATTATTATTGTCTTCCTCTGTATATATTTACCAATTGCTTTCCTATACTGAACATGTAGAGTCCTGCCCAATAATCTTAGTACTGTACTCTCGTGTGCAGATAGTGACACCTGGCATTTATTGTTGTCTACTACAAATATTGTAGTTGTAAATTCTGTGAGTGAATCTAGGGTTTAGTGACTGAGCAGTTCCTGCAATACAGGAATTGCTGTAACTAAACCGTATCTGCACACAAGATAGAGTATGAAGATTATTGTGTGGGACTGTACTTGTATACCTGTCTATCTGTTGGTAGGCACTTGTCTGTAATTGTGTGTATATATCTGTAAATTGCTGTAAATGCAAGAAAACTTCTATTGAATATGTATGACTAAAGAAAGAAGTAAAACACAAGTATATTTTTTAATTTTTGCCATTAAAATATAAGGTATTAAATTATTTTCAAGCTCACTGAATTATTCTTACATGTAACTAATACAAAAATAACCTTGTATGTAATTGTGATTTGTACATAAAAATAAAAGTAATGAAATTCACTAGTTTTCTTTGTTCCTCTAGCCAATATAGCAAAAACTTCTCGATTATTTTTTTCTTTTTAATTGGGAAATTTTATTATGATGAACTTACTAATTGGTTCACAGTTAGACATTGAGTAAAGACAAGGTTGTGCTCTACAACAATGCCCACTATATTATGCAGTACAGTACCTGTACAGTGTTGTCTGGATTTACGTGGTTTTTGTTTACGCGTTTGGTCATTTACGCGGTGCCTTGCCAGAATGAAATGTTTTAATTACACGGTATATTTCATCATTAACGCGGTGAGCGGCAGACGCACCGCGCCATTTTTTTCTCACGCGGTCCATTCTTGACCATAAGCGGTGGGGGGTGCGCATTAGATTGCTCTTACGTTATCGCTGATGTCATATGACGTATCGGACTGTGATTGGGCCATGCATTCTTACCATCCACGCATTCCCTCCGCCGCTAGCTGTGATTGGTCTATTGTAACATGACATGCCCTGCCACTAGAAGTCGCTGACCTAGCTGGGCCAGTCTCATTGTTCTCAGTCCGTGTATACAGTTCTCTCTTGCGCCCGCTATTCCCCTCACAGTGGCTTCCGCTGGACCCCCACCACCCGAAAAAAACCTTGAATTACCTGGACCAGGCCATGATTATGTGAAGGAAATCATTGAGTTGGGGAAGAAAATTAAACTCATCCTTGACAACGACCCAGACGAGCATCAGTATGAAGTGTCTAATAACCATCTGACGAAATTTATAGAGGTGTATATCCAGATCTATCTCGACAACATCAATGCTAGTCGTCAACGTAGTATTAAGGACTTCTTCGTCTGCAACCCACCACAACCACAGCCAGCCCAAGTCGGTGACAGTGACTGAGGATATGGACTGTGAGGGGTTTGTCTGGGAGGCCCTGCATACCTCTGCAAGTAGTGAAAGTGATTCAACGGAGGGCAACTATCTGCCCTCTGCCCTGGAACCAGCCGCCATCCATGTGTGCCGACCCATCTTTTCTACTAACGTAAGTGTTAAAAAACCTAATAATATTGATATTTCTCTTAAATATTAATTGTGTGTGCATACCATCATAAAATTAAGATGTTATTTTTGCTACAACGTACGTATTGTGTCGGAAAAAGTGGAGTTTGGGGGTCGGCCCAATCTTTATTTCAATTAATCCCATATGTTCTGTTATTTCGTTTACGCGTTTCTCGTTTTACGCAGACCTCTGCGGGTTCAATTGACCGCGTAAATGCAGATTATACTTTACTTTGATTTCACCAGTGTACTGATTTTGTGGTATCGTTATTGAGAAATTTTAATGCTTGTGTTGAGAATACGTATTCTA